AGGCTGTTGGAGGGAGGCAGGCATGCAATCTCATCAGTCTCTGTGCCCACCACCATACAGGGCTCTTCTCCTGCAGAGTTGTTGTCCCACAAAAGTTTAAGCATGGGCACAAACTTGGCACAGACCATGCTGCCTGCAGTGGGACACACACAAACACATAACACTAAGCACAACCACAGGCCCAGGCCTGAGGCCATCCAAACCCAAGCCACAGCTGAGAAGAGTGACCAAAATCCTTAGAGGGATTATGAACCACCAGAAGCTTAGAACTAGGATTTTGCTTTTAATTAACTAAAAAGTACATGCTTGATTCTTGCTGAGTTACCCCCCATTGTTTACATACATGCTCTCTTCTTTGAATTCTTTTTATTGATCCCATATGCCTCAGCTCTGGCAGCTGGACCAAGTCATCTTACCAAAATTTAAATAAAAATAATGTAGGCTTTCCATGAAAATGCTGCAGAAGGAAGGTATGCATTGATTGATATTCCCCTCCATATTAATGGTATCTCTGAACCCTCTGTACTTTCTCTTTGCCATCAGGCATTGTGATTTTGTTTTGTATCATATCCTATTCAGGGTATAAAAAAGTCAAGAGTTAAGCTAGTGAACAATGCAAAGTGGTAAGATGACTCAAAGGTACCAGTTCAGGCTGTGTTCAAATATTTCTCTCCTAAGGATTGTTTTATATATAAGGCCAGTCAGGACAGTTGATATAAATTCATGACAAATGTGAATTTGAAGTACAGAACACTAAATTAAATAATTGTTATTCTTTTAAAAATAACCTTCACATGTAGAGTGTAGTTTATCTAAAAAGTAATACTTTAAAAGCCATCATAGACCAACTGCCCCACGTTGTATGACATACCTGGCAAATTCTGAAACAATGTTTCTCTTTTACACATTCATTACAGGAGTATTTCCCCTTGGAAATCCATGGAAGGGTACAAATAAATGCATTATAAAGGCAGAGTCACTGAGATTGAACAAGCCTGGTATTGGAGACTTGGACTGGGAGTCATGATGGGATAGTAGAAGACAACTTGAATGGAGAAGTGGAAACAAGAAACTTAGGCAAAGTTAGGGTAAAGAAACTTTGAGCAAAGAATCTAGGAAGGGAGATAGAAAGGCAAGGAGGGAGACCCTGACTTGAGCTTAGCAGGGAAAAGGCATGGAGATTTGAACCAATATGAAAAGTCCAAAGCAGGCTTAGCAGTTAAGGAATCTAGAACTACAGAAGAGATGGCAAAGATGAATGAGGACAAGAGCATAATATAGACTAATGAACAAAAATGGTCCTTTTTGAATGGGTAAAGGAATTTTTGTCTGCCAGGGTACACTCTTCTACACCAAAAGGCCATTCCAGATGATTGCCGTTTTTGCAGAGAGATCAGGGGCATTGCTGCCCGCAGGGGCAGCAGCGGCACTGCTCGTAGCGGCCATGGAACTGTACAGAGAAGAACAGGAAGTTGTGGACTCCATCCAGGCCCTTGGCAGCCCCAAAGAGGTAACTGTGGCCAGTTGGATGCTGGCTGTGCCAGCATCTGCTGGGAGGGGCTCTGCTGCTGGGCTGCTGAAGGGGGTGCTGGCTGGGCAGAGCTTTCCAGCCCTGGTGAGTTGTCTAGGCCCACAGCAGCCAAAGCTGGCTGAGCCAGCCCAGAGCCACCATGCTACCTCCCAACCTCATGTGGAACACCACCTCCCACCTGCCCAGGCAATGCCTCCAGGCACCCCAAGCCAGGTGGGGCTGGCCCAGGCCATGCTGTTGTCGAGGCAGCCCTGCTGACAGTGCTCTGCCTTGCAGTGGCCATGCAACTGTAGCACAGATCTTCTCTGAGCCCAAGATTACATGCAGGATATTATGGGTATTCTCTGTCTTGCTCTGGGTAGACTGGTTGCCTGGTAGTCCCAGCTCTTCTTCTTCAAAAAGCAGCTCCATCTCTGACTCGGCTGTGAGTTACTAGAAAAGGACTTGATCCTCTGCCACGAGCCTTGTAGTCTCTGCCAGTATCTCACTGCTGTGCTTGCTTCTTCAGCCATTCCCCAGTGGCAGTAGCAGTTTAAGCTGGATGATTTGGATGACGATTTGGATCATGACTTCAACATCAACAAAGAGCTTCCAACACTCCCAGCCTCCCAGGTGCTCGAAGGCCTCCCCACGATGTCACAGACACCAGACCTGGTGAGCAGGGTGGTGTCAGGGACAGCCATGATGGCATCCAGGGGTGTGCGGCTGGAGTCAGGTTTTGGGGTGATTGCTCCAAACACCCTTGCTGCCATATTGGGGCCTGGTGGCATGGATCTTATTAAAAAAAGTAAACTCTGTCTTTCATACAGGCAGGAAAAATGGAGTCCTGATGACTTCAAACCTGTAGCAAAAAACCTCACCAGGCACCTAACCTGGCACTGGCAATCAGGCATGCACAGGGAAAAGGAACACCTTCCTCCTGCTCCATAGGAATTAGCCTGTGATGGGGAACTAACTGCACTTAAAAATAAACTGAATGGTGTTGTTTTCCCAGGCTTTGCAGCTAGGCGTGTGTGCCATGCTTTTATGAAATACTGTTCTTCAAACCATTTAAACAAATTCCCACTCTATGGAGAGATCTGCATTAGCTTTAGAAAACACATAAAGAACCAAAACAGGTCAAACTTGTCCATTACTGTATTCTGGGCAAGGCAGTTGCCTTCAGTTGCACTTCTTTAACAGAGGGAAGAACTTGACTCTTTCGTTAACACAACAGTAGTAATGAAAAATACCAGACACCTTCGTCCCATTAGGCATTTTAGCAAAAACAGGCCAAAGGAAAGAGGCAGAGGATAGGGAAAGAAACCGGACTAGCAGGGGGTGTGTTGGTCATGGGTAGGGTCACAAAACATGAAAAACCCACAGATTATAACATGCAGAGGACATTGGTACATTGCAACGCTGGTTGTGGTTAAAGAGACCACGCAGCTCCTACATCTTTGTCCTTGAGGCTTCATTAAAGTAAGACTCACAACTTCAAGTTCGTAAATCAAATGGAAATGACAGTAGTGCTGTAAAAACATAGGTAGAAAAATAGTGCAAAGCCAAGGGCTGGACACTTTATAATCTGTCACAAGTACCCCAAAGCACTACCATTAGTGCTCTTAAAGAAAACACATACAGAAAACATTCTTTATTTATTATAAATGGCAGTTGTCTGCATTGCACTCTGTATTTAGAAGGTACTGATTACCTTTGTGCTTCCCTTCAAAGCTGTGGATGAAGAATAAATAGAGCCTTTCACACTGGTGAGCACTCACTGCCTGCCCTCCAGTCAGGACTGGTAGCAGAGTCAGACAGTATTTATAAAAGAAATCAATTAAAAAGGAAAACAGCATCATTTAAGGCCTTTGTCCTTGCTAGTCTGCTCAGCAGACTACACTTTCTTCTTAAAAGAAGAACACCTACCACTTCTGTGACAGTAACCAGAGAGCAGAGTGAAACAAAAAGAAGGTCACATTTCCAGCTGCCAAGAAGGCAAAGTTCCTGGGGCTCGGCCAAACACAACAGCACAGACGCTCTTCGCAGCACTCTTTGGGTGACCTGCACTGTGTGCATGGAGAAGGGCAGCCTGGCAGAGTGTGAGCCCAACACAACACTCAGGCTCAGCTTCTCATTTAAACCTTGCAGCCCTTAAGGAAAGGGGTTTGGAGTTACAACCAATTATACAGTGCAAACTCGTATCTGTTCCCACAGATATAAATTGCACAGGCGGGAGCGCAGAACAAAAGCACCACCAGCCCCAGTCGTGAGGAGCAGCAGCCATTAAGGAAATAAACTCCAGGGAGCAGAGTCTGATCTCAGCTACTCCTGAGCAAGCCTGGAGTAACTCTAGCTCTTTCAGTGAACTTATGCAAGTGTAACTGATACCAGGGTCTGAATGAGTCTGATGGTGAGGCACAAAATTAAAATGAACGGTTCATTAAATGACAACCTTCCAGATTTAGAGTAACTGAAAAATATTGGTAACAAAGTTTGTTAATCTTGAGCAGGACAAAACAAATACCCACCAGTGGATGGAGCTCACATTTACACAGCATTTCTCAAGTATTCACTTCAGCAGGTCCATAAGGTTTTAAAGGAGGGCTTGGCTTAGCCTGGTCTGAGTAATTTTTTAACAGGGTTCTTGCTGACACCCCATGTAAACTGTGGAAAAAAATACACTGACTGCCGAGAAAATACATTGTACTTATGTACCCGGTATATCCATGCCCATGCGGCCACTCTATGCTCACACAACCAAGATCCCAACACTGTGCACTGAATGGGAACTGTATCATGACCCTTCTTAAAATATTAGCTTCTTGGTGAGTTTGCTACCCCCATGTAGCATGACCAGTGACAGGGAAAAATGCACACTCCTCATATTTCGTGGTAGATATGTCGTGTTTGAACCAAAAGAAACAGCAGCTTTCTCAAGGTAGTCTGGTCTCTCAGAAGAGAGCCCTGTCTTAGCTGGAGTTTTGTTGGGTTTTTGCTTCTGTAATTGAGATCAAAAGTAAAAATCAAATTGATTTCAATGCTGGAAGAAATGCCATAGCAGCCAATTGACAGAAAACTACCAAACCATTTTCTTAATGGTTTGTCACCTTTAACAGGACACAAGCTACCAGGCAGAAGAACCTAATTAGGCTTTTCCCTCTCCCGCTTTCATAAATCACCCAGAACTTTCTGAGAAATCTGAGTGTCGCCAAGAACCAACAAAAAGCACAACAGTAATGACTGGATCTGCAAAGGCAGGGTAACACTGCAGGATCAAGTCACATGCAGCTGATGGAAAACAGGAAAGTTCTAGCAGTCTTGGAAGGTGCCTCATATTTATGGTATGAACTAGTGAATGGTGTCCTGGTTTCCTTTTCAGGAAGCGAAAGCCCACACCATACATACTGCACAATAATCTAGATCTTTCCCACACTAGGATTTGTTGGTGATAGAGTAGCCTGTAAAGAATAGGCACTTATCCCAAGAATTGGCAGAAAAAAAGGAGCATTATTTGGTAGGTGTGGCACCAAAATACAACCAATGTGCTTTCTCACATACATATGTTGTACAGGTGGAGACTCAGACAGACAAAGAGTTTTAGGTTGTTGGTGGGCTGTGTTTTTTCTTTTTGCTCCGACAAGATTTGCAAATGCAGCAGATGATGCATGGAGATGCCACGAGCAGCAAGGGAGAGGTCACCAGTGCTATGATACCTAGTCCAACGAGGATCCCCACAACCTGAAAGACATGGTGGTGAAAAACAGGTATTGAGCTAATTGTGGAAAATAAAGGACACGTGTGCATGCATAAGCATAGCATAGGTCACAAAAAAGATAGATGAAAAAACAAAAATAATCCTCTTGGTCCTTCCCTGAAGGGTAAGATCTCTTTGCTTCATGCGTGCATTAGAGCTCTGCCCAGATGGTTAGGAACACACCTGAGTTCTGTTCCACATCACTGAAGCCCGTGAGTGGCCGAGCTTGTTTCTGCAAGGGCCTCTGTCGTAATGTCGTAAGAAGATATCGTTCTGAAAAACAAAAGGAGAAGCTCTAAGAGCAGGTTACGGTACTGCAGGGAGTGGTTCAAGACCGGACTGGAAACACAACCTTCCTGACACTGCTTTAAAATTACCAGCTGCCGGCAGACAACTTCACCTGTCTTCTAAATAATTACCTAGAGAAACTTCTCGCAGTTTCAAAAATTGCTGTGTGTTTGGCACCTCAGCTATCAGCCAGCATCTTTCCTCCCCCGCTTTTAAGAAGTGTAAGCCTATGAGTTGCACTTCTTGCACAAGAACCTGGTCTGTAATTTAATGATAATAAAGGGGCCTGAAAACATCAGATATCTCTGAAAACTGGCAATGTGAGGGATCATCTCCCTGAGGTGCTTCTGCTTGCTGTTCTCCTGCTGTACCTACGCCTCATAGTCATTTTCTTCCTAGACTTAACTGGAAAATTTAAAAAGTAGAAAAATCCTGTTTCCCTTCTCTTTTCTCATTAAGACTTACTAAATTACCAATTTTTTTCAGAAGGTGATTCACACCCTCCACTACCCTCCCTTAGCCAGCTGTGCTATAAGTTAATGCTGCTTCCCCTTTCATTTTTCAGCCCTACTCTCTGCCTTTACACCTATTGCTTTCATCTACGCCCAGAGTTCCTGTAACCCTGCATATTTAGAAAAACTACATTTGAACCCACAACTACAATTTCTTTTCCCCTGTCTCTCTGTGAACTGACAAAGAATGAAGAATGAGGAAGTCTCATTGTTTGCTGGGTGCAACAGGAGTTGCACTACAAAAAAGAGGACAAGAAAAGCCATGCAGCACATAACATTTTCTTTCAAGTGCTGGTAAAGTCCTTTTCATGCTCCCACAGTTATTAGTCATGTCTGTGCCAAAAAGGCAAACTGCCATACACACAAGCACATTACTTCTGGGACTCTTAATTCTGCTAAGAAACTTGAAGTCCACACGAGTTGAGACTAGTTTGCAACCCTTGAGAAACCAACAGGCACTTCACATCCACCATTTTTATCCTCAAGCTTCCCAACCAACCAGTCTCTTCAGCAAACACAGTCCATGAACTCTTAAGCACTCTACCATGGAACAACCCACTCCAGCCAGTATCATACCAGTTTTTGGACAGGCTGTGTCCTTTGTTGTTGAAGCAGTGGAAGACACTTTTTTCCCTCACTCTCAATCAAATGGTTTTTAACTACTGGAAGAGGGAATAAGAGCAAGGTGTTGCTGGAAAGAACCTCCAGAAAGCCACCAGTCCGTCCTATTTCCCTCAAAGATCTAGCATGGGACCCACAGATGTAGCTATAACCCTTCATAGGGGAAAAAAAGGATACTGATACAAATAAAAGCACTGGGTGAAAGATGAGAAAGAAATTGAGTCAGAAGCTGAATTAAGCCAAGATATTTGCTAGGACAGCAATGAATTAATGAAGAGCTTGGACAGGGCCTTACACTAAGCCCAGTCCCATTACTCTTTATCTAGGCATTTTTCCTGCAGCACTTACATCCAGGTTCTGTAGACAGTACCAGCAAAAGGTGTGCTTGCAGTTCTTGCACATCATCTGAGCACAGCCCTCGTTTCGCTCAATATAGATCCGACAAACTGGGCACTGCTTAATTGGTGCCTCTGTCTCTGTTCCAATAAGGGATCTAGAAGAGCAAGGAAACATTACAGTGAAATGTGAATGCAATTACTGTTGATATTCCACTGCCTAAAGCATACTGTGCTTATTTTCCAGAGCATCTAATGGTGTTGTCTTAATGCACTCAAATGTGTGAAGCTTCTTATGTTCAGTACAATACATTGACATATACTCACTACTAGGTGTAAGATATTAATGTCACATAAAAGTGAAACTCTATTGCCTTGTTCTTTTATGCTACATAAAACCAACACTCACTACACCCACAAATTAACTACCTATAGCATTACAACTTAGGACTTTGTTACAGACAGCTTGTGCAATTCATTTAACAGGACTGGATTATGCAACTCAAAGCACTGTCCTTGTCTGAACAAAATAAGCTTAAACTCTACCAAAGCCATCAATCAAACCTGGAGAAGAAAAATCACAGCAAGAGCTTTTTGGCAACTCCTTATCCAATGAAGTCTCCAGCAAGCAGAATGCTTAGATTTTAAGTCTTCCTTCTTGCAAAAAATGATCGAAAACTTTGAACACACAACTAAAAAAAATCTGATTCTAAAAATATAGATGGAGGGCCAGAGACATGACATAATCTAAGCACAAAAGTGCTTGCTTTCTGTAGATTAACGAGTTGTGCAAGCTTGTCAATAGGTTATTTGCACCTAAGCAAAATGAGCTAAAATCAGGTTTTTCACAGCAGATGAAATTTACACTCTGTATAAGAGTCAAGGTTTGTCTCTACTGAGGGATTTTATAAATATTAAGTCGGGCACCATGACAAAACAAAAAGAACCAACACAATGCATGGTCTTCACGGACTCCCCTCTTACCCCTGCTCGGTTGGGACTGGAGCAGTTTGGTTTTCCCGGCACAGGTGCTGCAGGTGCCATGCCTCCTTGCAAGAGGAGCAGAATGTCAGGTGGCAAGCCGGGCACTGCACTGGCACCGGTGCTCTAGGCTCGCTTGGTGCAATGTGGCACACCGTTTGGCAGTCGGCCGTGGGGCACCATGTTCTCTGAGGGTCCAAGTGCACTTCTGAAATGCAACAGAGAGAGAAACAAAACTGTTTATACAGCCTCCTTTTCATTCCAGTGACATGTGCCTAGGCATACAAGACCCAATTCTACAAGCGGGTGTGGAAGCCAAAGCGCTCCACACCCACGCCCACGGGGATTTGAGCCTACTCTTCCTTAGGCAGGTCTGCAGTTGCACTCTGCTAAGGCAGCTGCACAAGAGCCTCAGATACATGTTCTCCGGAAAATTTTGCTGGAACCACAGAAGGATGATCATCTTCTCTGCTGGCTGCAGGACACACAGGTACACAATGCTCTCACTTCAGGTCATTTCTGAGTCTGTGCCAAAGTGCTCCAACAGATGTGGAGAATTTCTATATCCATGTCAAAGGTTGTTACCTATAATTTAGGCAGCGCCAGCAAAACAGCTGTACCGCCTACCTTCAACCATTTCATGAATCTAGTTGCATTATTTCCTCTTATTCTCTTGCCCATGCTTCCTTTGCCTCCCAAAACAAACAAACATTTTGCTTTCCACTGAATGAAAGCCAGAACAAATTAGTTTGCAGCTTCATTTGTGGAGAGAAGAGAAGCATGGCCAAACAAGTAATTTGTCATTTTTACACACTTTTTAAAAGTACTGTCCTAACTGAGAAATCATTATTTCAGTAGGTTTCTTTGGTGTGTCTTAAAAGAAGCTCTGAACTGGGTAAGACCATGGCCTAGTACTCACTATTGAATTTAATCTTTGACACAGTAGGTTCTGTATGTTTTCTGTTGATATTGAGCAGTTAAAATGAGATAAATTGTAGGTCCTGCAGATAGTTGTTTAACATACTTAACTTTGGAAACCTAAATTCTCCTATCCTGTTCTTGGGTGAAAGACAGGATGTCTGATTTTGACATCACTGGGAGAAAGGGAGTTGAGTTTTGCATCTCACTGTTTTTTAGCAATTTGTGGCAGTAAGATTGATCAACATAACTGGTCTACTCTGGCCTCCAATCAGGAGGCCTGGAGACACACCATCTATAACGCTGCTGTTTCCTTTGAGAATGCACGCAGGATCACTCTCGAGGAGAAAAGACAACACAGAAAGAATCGTGGCTTGCAGAATATACCACCTAAGGAGTCTTTCTGCTGTGCCTTTTGCAATCGGACATGTCTATCTCGTATTGGCCTCATTAGCCACCAGCATGCTTGTAACAAACGTGAATAGAGCCTTCCTAAATCTTCATTCGCGAAGCCTGGCCATGATGATGATGATTGCAGTAAAATGTAATTCATGAGATGAAATTCCCTCCTTTCCCACTTCCTCCATTTTACAAAGAACTTACAGATGGTGTTTTGCAATCCATGCTGTCTCATACAGTTTGGTTTATCATGGACTAAAAATGAAAAATCTAAAATCTAAAAAGACTCAGCCAAAAAAAATTGAAGAGGATATAGTCCTGCTCTGACAAGTTGCTCCATCTTTTGGTTAGAGCCATTTCTCTTCCAAGACTTTCCCCTGCTTCCCCACAACCAGTTCAGCCACAATGCACTCCACTCTCAGGAGGAAAGTCTTCACAAACAGTGCCAGTACTGGGCAGGGATATGGTCGGTTTTCATAAAACATGTAAGCAGGCAGGTGAGATGTGGGAGGCAGACAAGGGAAATGCGGCACCCTGAAGAAAAGAATTTCTGCCTCAGGAAAGGTACTCATTAAAAGGATGAGTCTATGATTCTATTTCACAGAATATTAGGAACACCTCCTTTTAAAATGGACCACATTTCCATCAGGCATAAGATGGAGATTCTCATCATCCACCACTCAGCCTATTGGACAATTGTCACAGAAACACAAACATAATGCTTGTGTCCTAACCACATACTATTCCTCTATTTCTTTACTTCTGATAGGGGCTGACATCAGCCCCATCCTTAATAGACATAGAGAAATTCCTGTTTCTTCTACTAAAATATTCTGCACATAAGCTCTGTGGCTTGGTCCTAATCGGATGCAGAGAAGATACAGATATGTGAGAAAGCTTGTTTTAAAGCCTGAGAATATTTGCATTCTAAGAACACAAAATCCACAAGAGAACAGCATATTGTCAGTGCATTCTGCAAAGAGTCCATATCTCAACTGAATAAAGCTGAGAGAAGAAGGATCTAAACAGAGGAAGTTAAAGGGCTTTGTTGATCAGAACAAAAGTCATGAAGGACACCCTAGCATCTCCCTATTTTAAGGGAGAAGAGGGCTAGGTTTGAAAAAGGCTGGGTTGTGCTAAGGTTGACACAGACATAAGACACACAACAGATCTCAGGCTACCGGGAGTCCCTGGGCAGATTCCAGGTCAGAATTTCTCCCTAGCAGGTGCCATCATCAAGATTTATTGCTAGCTTCAGAAGAAGACTGGCAGACAAGTGTTCTCATTGGTCAGGGCAAGCAGGCTTTGGCAGGTGAGGCTCAGGTCTGAGAACAGAGCTTCAGGCCAGCGGAAGCTAATAAGCCAAGTCCCATTGATGAGTCCAAAAATGGGGTCAGCCCTGGGGACAAAAGCTAAATCCAGGATAGGCAAAAGGTCTTGGCCAGGGCTGGTATTAGTGCTGGGTGCCCAGGTTAGAGCTTTAGCTAGCACGAATCATTGTTCCCAGACATCAGTAAGCTGGATTTATTGTTGGGGACAATAAGCAAGGTAAAAAGCTATGCCCAAGTCTACTGCTTAGATACCAGTTTTACTCATCATAAAGGAGCAAGGACAGATCTTAGAATCATCATGAAGAGACGTAGCAGAGGTGGAGGAGAATTTGTCAGACTTAGGCAAGAAAGAAAAGGGAAGGAGGATTTAAAAAATAGACAAGTTTCAGGCTTCTGTGTATGGGAGACAGTTAAAAAAAAAAGAGATTAACAGTGAGTTGGACAGAAGATCATGAATTCAGCTTTGGCTAGTTATAGAGGAGGAGATACCAGAAAACGTTAGTTTCAGAGTCTTCAGTTAAAAAAGGTTTTCCGTAAAACAGATTCATGTACTGCAAGAATGTCTCTATTCCTTAACCCTTTAATATGGTAGTTTAACAAGCTCTGATTTCCATTGTCTAGGACTGTAGATAAGCCACCAATGGGCTTAGGGACCAGAGGGACTTGCTAAGGAATTAAGGATAAATGAGAAGGTGGTATAATAGGAAAGAAGAATAAAAAATGAAAGCAAAGATTGGGATTTTTTTTTTCGTTTTTTTTTTTTCTTTGGCCTGAGTGTCTGCAAATCATAGCTAAGATCTGCTCTCTCCTATGAATTCTGGTGCATATTTTAGCATGCCCCATTTTGAAGTTTTTGTACTTGGTGGTCATGCAGTCATCTGACTCATGTCAGACTAGATCCTGTAAAAACCTATGTGTTCTTCTATATGACCACCTTTTCAAGTGCATTACTTTGCCTAATTTTTATAAACCTCTGCACCATCTTACACATTCCTAGTCCACCTGCATCTAAGCATGCATGCAAAGTAAGAACATAAGTACAGTCTTTCAAAGAAAGTTTGAAAACAGGCAGAGTTAGGGCAGATCAGTCCCAGACACACCACTCTGCAAACTACCATGAAGGGAGTTCTTCGAATAACATTTCAACTTCCAACTGAGACTTTCAAGTTGGTGTCGGTCTTTAAAAGCAGGAATGGGATCTCATCTTTCTAACTAGCAAGTTTCTTCTTCAGCCTTGGCAAGGAACCATCTCCAGAGGCAGAAGGCTGAACTCTGGGAATAGGAAAGCTTGGGCCCAGTGAGACCAAGCTCAATAGTTTCAAATTTCTTTACTAATAGGCTTCACTCGGTAATGAGGGGACCTATTATTCCCCTGGAAAAAAAAAACAACTATACTAGATGAACACACATGAGGTTTCTACATAGGAAAAATTATTTTTCAGTGATGCTTGCAAAAATCCACATTGCACTTTAGGGTATGTCTCCCCCAGAAGTTCTGAAGATCCCTATGGATGTATAAAAAAACTCTGTGCCCTGCCCTGCACCAGCCTCTAGCACCTTGTCTAGTTCTAACAGTACAACCACCACCTCAAGGACCCAAGATGAGCATGTTATAGGAAGAACGATGGAGCCTCAGGCTCACAATCTGAGAGTGTTGCCCACAAGCTTGAGTAAAACTCTGATAATTCAGTAAGATGCCACTTTGTTGATTCTGCAAAACTGAAAGAATTTCAAATTTGTCTTGGAGCACAGTGAGACCTAGTGAAAATATTTCAAAACAAAGATATCTTCTCTGTCTGTTCCTCAACTCACTCAACAGGCTTTGTCTTTGCAGTATGTAGCAGTGCTACCTTCACTGACACTGTAAAAAGGAAGGTAATAGAAACAAAAACTTTCACACCTCGTTCAAACTTCAACCTCTTGTACAACTGAAACTGGTCAACAGGCACCAAACAGGCAATCTGAAATGAGAAACAAACACACCGAAAAAGCATTAGAAAGACAGACTTAAAAAAATTAATAAGCATGATGTTCTACACACTTGCTTTCCTGAGCTGGCTCTCAAATCCACCTTTTTTTCCCTGCTTGCTTTCAGCATCACATTCCTCCGTATTCTGACTTCCTTCACCAAAACTTAAAGCAGTTCTTGACCTCCCCTATTTCAGCAACACAGCCTAGTAGATGAGCCCACATCTTTCTTATCATACATAGGAAAACCTTCTCTGTGGATTCAGTATTTACTTCAGGCTTTTCAGTTTCGTATTGGTTTAATGTAACGAAGGGTGACATGTTGCCAGCCTTGGAGACTGTAGCATGTTGTTCACGCACAAGAATACACCCCAAATGAATGGTTCTTCATTCATGTCTCCCAGTCTTAGGAGTCACTTAGCTCTCAGGAACCTAAAAGACAGTCTGGTTTCCATTTTTCATTCACTTTATGGGGCGTGGGCTGAGGCAGCTAATGCCATTGCTGTTGGAATTTGACTTAGACACACATCAGCCTATTGGGAACCGGGCTGAAGATAACATATTTAGCTGGCATAGACAATCAGGCTTTGCTGATACATTTTACACATTACCATAATTAAACTAGCAGCCTAAAAGGCTAAATGGTCTAATCTCCAATTAACAGTCTACGTAAGAAAACCAAGTGCCCTATTTAAAACTGATAAGCAAACCTGCACACAGGGTAAGGAGGGATTCAAAAGAAACTTCACAGACACTTCAGGAGCTACATGTTTGTTGGATTTAGAATGTGGGAGCATTCTCTTTGTCTGATCCATTTGTAATATTGCACCAGCACTGAAGATATCTTTCTCTTTTACTGAAAATAAACCCAGACTGATACTAATACAAGACCTGATCATTTGAAGCACTGTGAGGCAGTGTGGAACTGACAGCTTTGAAGTGAAGGGCTCTCATTCAGTGGGATACTCTCATCCAGTATCCCACCACAGTCTTTCAGATTACTGTAAAAGGCAAAATTTGCCTTCAGTGAAGTGGACGCTGGCCCTTGCTCCCCTTCTGGATTGCGTGATACAGTATTCATGAAAAGAAATATAATGACAAAAATCCAATATATATTCCATATCATACTGTGAACATATTTCCTTTCATAGGTGAAAAAAAAGAAAATAATAAATACATTTTTATTATTAAATATGAAGTTGCTTTATTAAGATCTCAAATCAATTGAACTTGATTGCACAACATTGCATTCTGTAGCAGATGCTTGGATCATTTATTTAACCTAAGCCAGTATTATACAAAAATGAATACAAATTATGTCAGGATTTAAGTGTTCAAAGATGTTTAAAAGATGCTTATAGTTGGAGAAATCAAAGGATTTAATATCAAAATAGGAAACACAAACAAATCTTTACAGAGTATATTCTTAGTCTAGTAAATCTGCCCACAGTCAAAGTAATGTCCTCACTCAGTTTCTGAATTCAGCATGTAAACTGTTTTTAATATGAAACAGTATTACATTAATATGATTGTAAACACAGAGAGTTTCCGGGGAAACTCTTCACCTGTTCATCAGAAGTCAGCTAAAACACTCTTGGAAAATAAATAATGACTAAATGAAAGGGTAAAAGGAGTGAAGTTTGGCAGTTTCAGCAAAGACATATTATTTCAGTATTGTCCACTCCTCCCCAGGGCAGCTTCAAATCTAAATAGTTTGAAAAACAATAAGTCATGTGCGTGTAATAATAAGTCTAGTTGGGTGAGCATTGGCAACTACTTCAAATTTTCCTTTATTAGGACTAAACTAAAACAGCAAGTCTCAATGCTGTAAGAGCCACTCAAGTGAATTGTTTAGTTGTCTGGGGTCTTTCTGTGCTTGCTTTGGCTTTTAACAAACAATTTTTTCAAGAGCAGATCTACCAAGCCTAGAATTTCCCATGTATTAAAAATCAGCCTTTTTGATTACAGTGGGAGCAGACGTAGGAGTTTTATTGTAGATTTCAATAGGAAGCAGAGCCAGTGCTGAAGGCATTCTCCTGTGGAAAACTTGAGCTTACCATGCCAGCCTTTCCCACCGGTTTCACCTGGCCCCACTCCTCTTCCTACATACCCTCTTCATAGCTCAGCTTCCTCCTCTCTGCATGCAGCTCTGGTATTGAACATATGCAGCCTGTCACTAACTCTCCCCAGAATTGAAAGACCAGGTCCTGATAACTCCCACACTGAGATGTGCTGAGCAGAAACCTCTCACAGGTTTACTATCTTTAGGTATGAGGAAAAGAATGTGGAATTTGCTGCTGCATGAATTCAGTGCCACATAAAAGCTGTACACACAGATTCAATTGAAAAAAAAAAAGAAAGAGAGAAAGAAAGAAAGAAACATGAGTATCAGGTCCCCATAAAAAACCAAACCAAACCAAAACAGCAAATCCTTTCCTCAGTGAACTTTTAATCTCACTTACACTTAATCAAGAAGGACAGCCATGAGCATGATAAGGGGATTTGGTGTTTATCTCCTCCTACTTGGCATCAGTCTAAATGTTCATCTCCAGACAATTTCTCGAGCCCTACCTGGGTGTCCATTCCTCTCCTGCACAACCACAAATGTCTCTAGGCTGGTCAGGGGATGGAAATCTGGGGAGACAGCAAAACAGCAACCCAGCAGATGGCAAAGGGCCAAAAGAGAAAGACCACGAGCACACCAGAAAGCAGACATTTCTTGTTCTAGGTTATGAAATTAATGGAGGAAGAAATGCTACAGGACAAGTTTTGGGGATTTTTCTTTTTTTTTTATATTGGGGGTTTTAGTGAAAGATTAGAGGCAAGGACTCTCCTCTCCTGAAAATATCTTGATTTGAGACTAATCAGACTGTTAGGAGTTGAAATAAGTTTTCTGATTTTCTACACCCTGTAAGCAACATCTGCAGTTAAAATACTTTGTTATAGAGCACAAGAACACACAAGAGCTCTTGCTAAGAACAGCAGCGTTCACTGGAAGTAAAAATATCCATGGAAAAAAGCAAAATTTTGAAGGCTTACTACCACAAAGGGCTCCAGTTGGCCCCTTGCCAAGCATCCAAAAAGATCACCCAGCATGGTATGATAACCAGGGCTGCTGTTACTACACAAGACAAAAGAGCAAAGAAAGAAAAATGAAAGGGTTCAAAATAATTTTATTCAGTTGACACAGGGGTAAACTGTTACAGGCAGTGCAGCAACCAAGACCCAAGGAAGAACAACTTCCCTGTTTTTAAACACTGGCTACCGCAGTGGAAAGGGAAAATCACTATTCCACCTATTCTCAGGCTTTCAAGGGAGATGTAAGGAGGCAATCAAGAAAATTGAATAGATCTTACTTCCTTTCACATCCATATAAATCAAACCTTGATAATGTCAAGGAAGAGAAGTTGACCAGGACAAGTGCTTCTCCTTCTCACTAGAGCAGACAGGGAGCAAGGACAGATCCTGCACTGGCAGCAGCAACAGCAGTTTGAAAAGGGTGGCATTGTCCACCTCTACCAAAATCCCACTTACAGAGGCACTGTCTTGTTTTGCAAGCAGTGTAAAACAATTTCAACAGGGGCTGTGGTTTGCTTTTGAAAGGGGGGTGGGAGTTCAATCTCTTTATTGTTAGAAATTACACCCACAGCTTTCTTCATCAGCTACCATGCTCACTAGAGTGATAAAGAAATACTAAATTATCCATTTTCTCCATTAAGGAGCTCTTCTCTTATTTAGTGACAAATAAAAACAAAATTAAGGTTCTCATTTGCTCCCCTTCATTTTATTAAAAATGAGTAAATAAGATCAAACATTTTTATTTTGACTCTGAAAAAGACAGGTCAGCCTGCAACATTTTCCCACATTCCTTCTCATTTTACCATTTCAATCTCCCCCAGAAAAATGTAAACCAATTTTCAAATTAAAAATAAAACTGGTATTTTAAACTGACTCCCAGTGGGATTTTTGTTCGGTTATGTATGGAATATAATGCAATTAAGAATTCTAAGATTTGGGTCACTGTACAAAGTGACCCCAGCATCACTTTACAAAGTGCTGACAACCCTCTGTCAGGTTAGCACTGGTGTAGATCCTGGATTTACACAGAGAGAGGGACAATAAGCAGAATCTGCACTGCATGCAAAGGGGTAATTCTCAACAAACTTAAGAGGTAAAAGGAGAGCCCAAATCAGTACCTCCTTTACTGACTGCTGCGCAATTTTGATCCAAATCAGAAAGAGCAAAGCATAATCCCCTAGACATTTTCCAAGTGAGTATTGCATTAGAAACCCCTGTATGCAGTGGAGACTTATCCTGGTTCATAGCTTAAACTGGTGATTGGACTCACATCGAGCAAAACCATTTCAAACTGTGATAAATTACCCCTTATTTAGATTAGGGGTATTAACTGGTCCAATTAAATCAATGGAGCAAGTTCCCAAGAGAGACAGAAATATTTCGGACAGAAGAAGTCTGCACAATTTAAGAGAACTGCATTAAAATAAAATGTTCCTTCTACCTTCTGCTTCCAGGAAGGAATCCAAATCATCTTTGTTTATTGTACCATTAGAGCTTGAAAGGACAGACATTTTATTTAACAAGACTGTTTTTAAACTTTCTTTTTTTCTGTGTAACCAGCTATTTGAAACAGAGCCTGTAGCCAAAACCACTGTCTTACCATGACTACCCCTCATTTATTTCTGCTTTAAGACAGCTATACTACAAGCAGCTGCTATCTAGATGTAACAGGTCAAGATATGACCTAGGATTGCACTTGATTTCAAGCACTCTAGCAGAACAATTCCTTCTGTTTGAATGCACTATTTGTCAAAACAAAAGAACGGCTGGGGAATATACCAGTTTCAACTAGATTGTGTTAAAGGAAAAAAAAACAAACCAGAAGAGTTTCAGAAAACATATTTTCAAAATACTGAAAAGTACCATTTTCTACTTCAAATGACTTTTCACTTTCAGCACTTCAAGAATAAAAACCTGGAATTTTTTTTTCTTGGGTCCAGAGGGACGCAAAGACTGAAAGTAAAGCCTTAATTCCCAACATCTCCAATACTCAATGAATAAGCAGTTTACTCCCCAAACACTGAAGAAATATTCAACTGTATTAGAGAGACACATTCCTACTGTTTACACTTGCTCAGTTCTTCATGTGATATACAAAAAGAAATTCTATTCTTTGTTTAAAATGTTAACCAGAATTTTGCCCCGCTCTATTCCCCAAAAGCAACAGAAGAACATGAACCAGAATCAAGGCAAGACCTGTGAAAAGGCTCTAACAATTTAGTACCAAACTAGATTTAAACTCTTAAAAGTTTTACTGAGAAGCTAAACCAGACTTAATTCTGGTTTGCCTTAATGAAGACAAACAGGTCACTGGAAAGCCCTGAAGAAATGTTACACACCTTGAAAAAGGATCTTTAGAGAGGGAAGAAGAGGAACTTTCATAGCTATACTGTGTTATAAGTGCTTATAAGCTTTGTTATTATTGGTCAGTTTCCTTCTTGAAGAAAGCTCTATCCAAAATGTGCGAAAGTCAATGAAAAGGCTTTCCTTCACTTCAAATTATGCCTAAATTGACCTTTATCTCTCTTGTGCAGGCTAGGGCAAAAGGCACTTTAAAAAGCAAACAAAATAACTGAGCTAGCTAACATAATTAAGAGCATTTGGCCCGAAGTATAGGAACTAATTTCACACCATGTCCATAACAAAGACAGTGTGAGCTGCTATTTTTTCTTCAAACTGTAACAGTACCTCATAAACAGCAGTCATAGCACAGTCTGAAATGAACATAACATGAAAAATACACCTTTCCAAAACACTGATGCTATCACAGAGTCGAAAAAAGGACCTTCTCTTTTTTTTCCCCAGTACAGGTAACTTGTCATTCCTCACAGCGCTGTCCTGCTGAGGAACCTTGTCCTACCAGAAGCCGGAGAACAAACATCCAGACCCTCCAGACGTGAGAAGCCTCATACTTTCACACCACAAGTCCAAGAATGTGTAATGAGTAAACTGTAATTCTAACTGGTACTTCCATGCCAAACAATAGTCATATTTAAGCACATTTTCTACCATGTGATAAGGTTATAGTTTTTTAAATAATAGTTTTAAAAGGCCACATATTCACAAGGAACAGTCTCTACAGAGAAAAAGAGGAATAGAGAGTGCTCATACATAATCTATATTGACATACTTGCAGATTGTTAATAGAGTCAACCTATTCTTTCTGGTTTTCATACTTTTTTCTGGGTGGTTTTCTTCTTCAAATAAATAGGTATTTGTTAAAATACATAAGCAATAATTTTAACCAGGTTGGGGACTTTTTTGTTATTTAGGCAGAAGGCTTCTGTTTCAAGCACATCACCAAAAGGGAGAGTCAGAACATTCATTCATCCACGGAACACTAATGCACATTTCGATTGTTTAGTCATTTTGCTTTCAGCCCCAAAAACACCCAAGGATTAAGCTAGTGGTCCATTTATATGTGCCCTGGATTATTCTCCTGTTTTACTAAGGGAAAATGTATCTCTCTTAATTCCTACAGCATCATAACCCTGGATTAATGGAGCAGAATTCCTTCTAGCATTTGTTAATTTTCTTATAAAAATGCATTTTCAATAGAGGCTAGATGCCTCCAATCTGGTGTGATGGATGGGAGGGACATTGCTACACCCTCTCTGTGTCTGTGTAGAAAGAGGAGGAAAAGGAAACAGCTGGCTACTTTCCACAGTAGCTGGATTCAGCCAAAAAAAAGCTCCATCTGCATGCCTGCATGCCTGCATGCCATAACAAACATAGCTGCAACTCCCATGCTAAGCACAGTGTTCGAAATGGATGCTAGAGAGGAAATTCTGAATTTTTCTGGAGTAAAAGATATTTTTGGTATCGGAAATCACACTATCACTAATTATATACCTCTGCCATAGTTATGTCATTTGTTTACACAGGGCTCAAGGGAACCCAGAAGACAAACTGGTTTTCTTCAGTTCAATGATGGAGATCTAATTCTCTTTGATTTTATTCCTGCAACCAAAGGCTGAGAAAACACACAAAACCAGCCAAAATCCCTTAGCCACCTTTTTTTCTTGTTTTTTTCTTCCCAGCTTGTATTCTCAGCCCCAGCAGGGACATTTCTGCCTAACAAAGCAAGCAAGAATAGCTACAGGGCAGTGTCAGATTTGCCCATAGATTATCCATGTCGTTCTAGATTAATAGACCAGCTGGCATGTATGAGGGTTCTGGCCACACTGCCAACAGCTCTTCCCTATGTCGTGGGTTTGGTGCTGAGCCCAATTCAGAAACTTCACACCAGCCCTGAGTTTGTCAGGAGGCTGCTGGAAAACTGCTGGGAGGTCATCGGACAGCCATCTACAAGCCCATTGTGACAAGCATTGCAAGAAGGTCTGAGGAGCACATTTTCCCACCAGTTTCTCTGCCTTAACTTGCAAAGTGAACATTCCAGTTACTCTGGGAAATTGTGAACATGCCAGGTGTGCAAACAGCTCTGCCTAAATCTCATTTAGCTCCTGAGCTCTCAACCTCTCCCATATCTGCCTTCAGAACAAAGACACCTTTCGTATCTCTTAAGACGTACTTCCACCTAGTGCTATGCAGATACTTTTCTTTCCATACAACTACAGATCCTTGCGTGTTTATATTGGACTACAAATTGGTTGTTGAAGCCCAATATCAACATACACAAAGAAATTCTGGCCTTGTGTACCATCACTTTGATGGTACCATCTTGTTCTTGAGTTAAGAAAGAGGCAAGAATTCCAGTGTTTGCAGTCAAATCAAATATAATTTAACTGACAGTGCTAATGGAGGCTCAGTGATTCTGGGATACAGGATATTCTGGTTAAGTCACCTGCATGGGTAATACAGAGGTTGTCCAGATGCCAAGTAAACCTTTCCCCAAGGTAAAGAGGGAGAGAAAAAAGAGCAAAACCCTTGAAAAACATCTGTTTGTTTCTAACTCCCCTTGTCAGTCAGGCTTCTTGCCAAAAACTCATTAATGGTAATTAAAGGGATGAAAAAGTGTATGATCATATTCATTATGCAGATAATTTGGGGGATTTATGTTAAAAAAAAAAAGAGAGAGAGAAAGAAAAAAGTGTAGATACCTCTGCTTCTTGTAGAGTCCCATGGTTCAAGCATACCATGTCTGGACATGTGATAGGGGAACCACAACCTTCTTGAATTGCCAGCTGCATGTACTGTTTTAGACACTAGAAACAAGTAAAGAAAAGAAAAAAAGTTATAGCACACATGTTGGTAACAAACAGATGCCAGAGATGCCGCACAGTTACCACCTCCACTGCCTTAATTGGCTGTCCTGAAGCTCCAGTACACAGAAAACATCAATTATTATAAGCTTGAATGTTACAAGTCATTACATTGGAAAGAATGCAACGAAGAACAATTAATGACTTCATCTGCCGAGCATTGCGTTTACCTAAGTCAGCAAGTCAGACCTTTCAGCTTTAACAACCCCTACGCTCTGCTAAACTGGGATTGGAGGATTTGGGAGGGGGAGTTTCTTTCATCCTAATTAAACAGGCTTCGTTCTTTTGTTTTTCCTCACATGTTCTTAATTGAGACTCTTACCCAACAGGCTTCATTGAAGGAGACCTCATTTACAAGAAAGAGACTACTGTTCGAAGTTGCATAAAAGGGGAAGGGGGTTTATAACCTGGTTGGGAGGTTATAATCTGCCCTTGAAGACATGATGCCATCAGTTCTTCCCCCTCAGGAGCCTCCCACATAGATTAAGTGATTTCCATGGTTTACCATGATTTATCATCAGCCTCTACTCTTTCCAAAGTCCATTTACAGCATGGAGGCCACCTTATGAATGTTTCCAAATTGTTTCATTACAAAAATGACAGGCCTCCCCACTCCAAGGAAAAAAAGCCTTCTGTTCTCCCCATACTTTATTTGGCATGCCAGTTTCAAATGTATTCAGCTTCTCTATACGACACATATTATGGAGTCTTCAGTAAAATCATGGCATAAAACTGATGCAATGGAGCAAAGAACAGTGTTTGAATAGTACCTCCAAATTGCACAGGTAAGTAAGCTTACTTCTAAATCAAATAAAACAACAAAGTCTCCTCAAAATAATGACGAAGCACACAGTCAATTGCAAATCACCATTAACAAAATAACAAAACATGTATTTCTGACAGGGTTTTCTTGCCTAGCCTGTTGTAAATGAGAACAAACATATTTTACAAAAAAACAGGACTCCTGTAGATTTGTTCCCTACAGATTTATATTTTATGACCATATGACAAATCTCTCCTCCTCCTTCCCAGTACTGCTGACTTCTTCCCTTATTGCCCCACTAGTTTTCAAGAAATATGTCAAGGTGAAATATGTCTTTGAGATCTCTGTCTCTCTGCCAATTTTTGGAACAGGCACGGAGTTCAAAAGCTACCAGGTGGGTTATGGGGAAATCACAGCCTTTCAGAGCATCAGCATCCCTGGACTCTTCAAAACCATTATTTCATTATTTACAGGCATTTAACATTCAAGTCTGCATTAGTTTGAACTATTCTGAGAAGGCCTTGCATATTGTGCTCTGATTAAAGAAATTTCCTCATTTGTTTTTTTACTGGAAAACTGATTCCCTCTTGTCAGGATAATTAGGACTTTTACAAATGGAAATGAGATTTCCTTATTATTCTGTCTGTTTCTCTACTGAAACATCCATATCCACATGTTTTGGTTAATTCTGATGAACTATACAGAGATATTACTTGAAGCAAGTAGAATCAGCTTAACTTAGTGGCATTTTAAATTAACTTACTTTTCATTTGTAAATATTTTAAGTAGAAGAATGTAGGGGTATAACCTAACCAGGAAGCTTTAAATATCTAGATCATTAAGCACTAATGGATTCAGATCCAGCATGCATCCCTACAAGAAAGCCGCAGAGAAGGTTCTAAGGAATTGATGGTGCAAGTAGTATGTGGGAGACAAGGCAGATACTCCCAGGTGAAGCAAAAAAGAAATCATGTAACTGAAAGCAGTATTAGCTCCCTAGGGATTATCAGCACAAATTTAACTAGAGGCTATTCTTCTGTTATTCAAACAGCATTCTCAGTGCCCTGTCCCATCTTCTCACCCACTTCTCCCAAAGGCACCTAGGCACAGTGCTTATAAAAAGTCAGTTTAACCACCAGATCAAATCACACCAACAGCACACGCAGCTCCATCACAGAGCAGTGAGCAACAAGCGGGAGGAGGTACATAACCATTATGGTGCCTGGGACCTGGTGACACCAGAGCTGCCCTGTCCACATCTGCTGGGCAATGGCAGCAGGTGACACAGGGAAAGCCAAAAAAAGTGTGCCAGAGCCAAAGGTGGCTCCCAGTGCCATTACTGCTGCAGATGGAGACTCCCCCAGCAACCTCGCAATCGTTAAGCACCTAGGGTTCTCCACATGCTTCAGCCCATATCACAGGAGAAACAAGGTAGCAAGTTCTCACTCTTTGCATAACTTTCCTCCCTGGTTTGTACGTGTCCTCAGCCTCCACCATGAACAATGTAAACAGAAAATTCTTCCCTCTGAGTCCTTTTCCTAAGGCCTGCACACACTGTGTTGAGTGCACTTTTTAGATACATGGGCAGAGTCTCATTACATCTCACTCTGTCTCTTCACATCTCACTCTGTCTCCTCATGGGAGACCTGATTACTTTCTGGATCAAGTCTCAGGGTAGCATTTGGTGAAAGGCGAATGTTTCCCTCCCACCAAAGCATTTAGTTTACCTTAATTCCTCAGCAAGCATGAGAGAGCAACCTTTTACTTTGGTTAAGATCCTGGCTTCTGTCTCCTCTGTAGTGCTGCCTGATATTTAGTAATTTGTTTTGACAGCACAGTACAGTGAATTTGTATTCTGGGGGCAGCTCAGGTCAGCTGGTTACAGAGGGAGGACAAAGCCTGAGAAGTTACTGCAGGCCTAGCAGCAGCCCAGAGGCTTGTTCTTAATTTAGATTTCCAGGACAGAAGCTCAGAGCACTGACAATTACCCTTCTGTGCAAGGATGCGCATGAAGCTCTTAAGGAGCTTCGATTCACGGTATGGATTTTGCAATCAGTTTCAATACACAGTATCTAAGTCATTTGCGGTACCAAGCAAGGAGAACAGAGGTTTCTGAGGATTGCTAATGCATCTGTGTTCTTATTCTTTTCTAACCCACTGCTTGGTTGTAGGTGAGGATAGCTGGGCAACCAAAGCCGTCTGTGATACTTTAAGAGGGTGCTGTGCTTTCAGAGGGTGGCTTGGATAGATTTCGTAATTGTGCTGTGCATTGCTATGGCATTTCAAATAATTCCCAGAAAACCTCCCTGCTAAATCATTTCATTTCATTACATGAAATCTTCTGTGTTGATTTTCTGTGCTTGGAGAAGGTGTAGTGGGTGCAATTCAAGAAGTTGATGGAAGGACTTAAAGGTGCTGGGAAACTCAAAGAAAGCATTTAATATTTACCATTGAAGGATTAAGCTTTTTACCAAAGCATGTACATGAATGAAGATGGGAATTCCTTGTTCTCTCTTAGCACTAAAGAAGGAACAGTGGAAAATCACTAAAACTTTAAAATATGCCTTCACTTTAACAGTAAAACTGTTTTTAGAGGGGTTTTACTATTATTTACAGCTCAGCTACTAATTTAGCTGCTTACTTGAGAAGTGTCAACTAAGAGTATATGAAAAGACACAAGCTGAAAATGTGATGAAAAGAAGTTTCAATGTCTATATAATGAATCATGATTGACCTTCTCAGCAGTATGTTCTCCCACACTATGGAGAATACACATTTTTTTGTGGATTTTGTCTACAAAAATCAGCAGTATGTCAGGAAAACTGCACATACTACATATGCTACATAATTGCTCTTTAAAGTGAAGGAAAGATCAAGATATTCTGCCTTCTGTGATCCTAAGTGTTCCCTGAAAGGATCTTAATCTTAACATCAAAGAAATCATGAGATCTCAACACCCTGGGCTACAGTCTCCCACCAATTTCCCACAGTGTGGTGACTTTCGAGAACGGAGAGCAGCCAGTGGCTGGAGAGGCCTCACCACAGGACCTGTGGCTTACAGTGACAGTAATACCATACTCTTACTTTCCATGGCCACAGCAAGGCATCAGCACTGACCCTCTTACTAGTAAGCAAGGTTTCCACAAATGTGTCACCTAACCAAGGCAGAATGGTTTAGGCCACCAACTAAAAATCCACTGAAGTCTTGCTGAACAGATTAGAACCCTGCTGACTACGGATTAAATTGTAGATTTTACTCCATTATGTTTACTCCTCAAATAAATGGTAGACATCAACACAAGTAATTTTAACTTCCATATCTGCAAGTGTACTCTAATCAGTTACATTCAGTTTAATCAGATTTTCCCCACTGAGCAACTGTATCATATACATATCTGTGTTCTCAGATACACAACAAAATCCTGATGCTTTCAAGCAATGGGGATCAATTCAAATGTGATAATGTAATTCCACCAGTAAAACTCAGTACACATAACACAACATTTTAGTGCTGATATGGCTTTGCCAAGAATGTTTTGCTGCTGCTGGAATACTGTCAACTTCGGTCAAAAGAGCACTCCAAGTAGTTTTTTCTCTGCCTGAGATTCATAATGCATAATGACACCTTTTTTCAATAATTTGCTGTTTAAGCGTTTTGGGGCAAGATTTTTTTTCCCACTTATTCTGGTTTTGTCTTTCAGGCTATCACCTTCTGCTATTCAAAAAAACAAGATCAATATCCACTTACCTACTTCACAAAATGCTGCTCCTCAGTATATAATAAGTTAAGACCTGTAAAGTACCTGGATCAAATTATCATGCAACATATATGCATTTCTTTTTTATCTTGCAGGACTTCTAAGAAAGGTTATGATTTAGGCAAATACTTACACATTGCTCTCCTGGACCTAAGGCTTTGTAGAAAGAGTATGTATGTTGTAACATGATGGAGGCATCTTTAAAAAACTGGAAAGCCTAATCCAGGAATGCACAAACTAATAATATAAAAAAAATCCTTCTTCAGTAGTAAATCTTTCCTCTAATCTTTAAAAGTTTTTCTATAGTCAACTGTGAGCTCCAGGAATAGAAAACTCTGTTCAGGCTCTTCATAGATTCTTCATTTCAGCACTTCTCCTGCATGCTGCTGTAACTTCAACGTCTTTTTTTTCCCTAAGTATAC